GTGTCTGGGGGCCATACTCTTGAGGTTTCTCCAGTCTCCTTTAGGCCAGTAAATCTGGTCTTTTTTTTGTGAGTTAGAATTATGTTCTACATCCTAGAAGATTGTTTTTGGAGCCATAAAATAGAAAATAACCCCTCCAAGAGACAGAAACTAAACGTAGAGTTACCGTCAGTCCATGCTGTATGACAAGTTCCACGGGATAAGTTATTTAACAAGAAATTCAGAAGGTTATTAATAAACTTAGAGAATTTCATAAAATACAATTGTATATAACACTATTTTATAAGAAGAGGGAATTATACAATTAAATGCTTAGATTTAATACCCAGTTTCTTAACTAAAGATTAGGATTCTAGTAAGAATAATTTTGTACTTAATCATTTAAAAATCATTTTAGTCTTTTTCAGTTAATTAAATAATTGAACAAGCCTTTTTAATAACTTTAACTATGGTAGTCTTATTAATCCCAAAAATTATACTGCTAAGGAGCACCGTAATACTCTTATTTTTGCTTGGTTACAACAGTGATATGATTGCTTTTTTTGTAAAATATTTTTATGAAGTGAAAAAATGACTTTTAAGAAATAATGCTTCTCAGCACGTTTGAAACTATTGGCTAAGGTATGAAATCTACATAAACATTCAACAACTCTATAAGTTACTTGGAAGTTTATTAACTTTCTCAATAGACTGGCTGTTCGTCGACTGTTTGGTCTACCCTCAAAAAAGAACTGGCCATATGACAACTAGCAATTTCAGCTTCTCTACTAGAGAAAGCAAATGCAAGAATGTAAAAATAACTTGATTCTCTTTTACTTCCCAACAGATCCCAGATGGATTTTTTGCCCATTTTTATGCCATTTGTGAGCACATCAGCCCTGTGCTAGCCTGGGGCTTTTTGGGTCCTAGAAATTCTCTTTATGATTTATGTTGCTTCTTTAAGGTATGTTCAGTCATTGAATCATTAATCTTATTCCAGACTAAGAAGTTAAGATTTTATTGTCTTGTTTTTGTAGAAAAAAAAGAATGTTATTTAAAGGTAAAATTATAAAAGTCACATAAATTCAGTGTTTAAATGTCAGTGGACCAGGACCAGTATTGTATAGACTTGAAGCTTTATCCTAGAGTAGACTCAAGTAGACCAATCACCTTTTCAACTCCTCCTGTAATGGATCCAGTTCTTGGATAGTATTGCCATGTTACAATCAAATTGCTACTTCTTACACAGTTTGTTCTTCATGCCTGGGTACTTTTCAAATTTATAACACAAAGGTGGTAATTTAGAGATAAATTCTGGTTCAAGGTAATATGAATGATAAAATCCAAGTTGTGAAAAATAACCTGGGTGTTTAAAGTTGTATCCCGGTGTCAGCAGTTTAAATTTTCCTAATAAATAAGTTATCGTTCATGATAGAACTTGCTGCCTGGCAAAGTACCAAGAAAAGTCTTGCTCTTTAATGAAGTTAGGCTGAATTTCAAGGAACAAATAAAAGTAAACAGAATTGCGTATGAACGTGAAAGTTTTGGATGTTTGAAAGTTTGGATGTTTCACTATACTTTCGATTGTTAAAAATTAAATTATTATGTTTATGTTCTGTTTATGTAGCATTTTAGGAAGTGTTTATTTGTTGTTATTCAGAATGCATTAATTTTTGACTAGTAAATGGAAGGTATATATTTTAGTGGGAAAAGTTTGGACTGGAAATCAGTTTGTCACTAATGAGCAGTCTGAATGTGGGCAAGTCATTCTTTGGTTCTCCTTTTCTTTACCTATGAATGAGGGAACTTTATAGGTTGATTGCTAAGAACACTTCCAAATCTAAAATTCAGTGAATCTAGGAAGTGTGCTTTCTTAGTATTCCTGAGCATGTAGTTGCTGGAGAATAGAAATTAAATATTTCTGGTTTTCTGCTCTTTGGAATTACTTTTTTTTCCATCAAGACATAGCAGCCTGAGAATTAATACTTAGTCACTAGTGTCCAACTTGCTTAAAATGTGTTTCAGCATAAGTATTAACGTACTGAAATGAAATATCCTTCAAGATCTTCCACTGATTTAAGATTTGAGATCTGACATTATTATTTTTTATGTCTCAAGTATTTTATGTACAGAAAAACATACATTTAGAGATTTAAAATTTATGATTATTGGAAATAGTTTACTCATCTGTCTTGAAGTAGTATCAGTGCTCAGAGGTAACATTGCAAACTTCAGTTATTGTGAAAGAAATAGTAATAGTCTCTTACATTCATACAAGGAGCCCTGGTGGCGGAGTGGCTAAGTACTTAGCTGCTAACCAAAAGGTAGGCAATTCAAACCCACCAGCTCTCCCTGGAAGAAAGATGTGGCAGTCTGCTTCTGTAAAGATTAGAGCCTTGGAAACCTTATGGGGCAGTTCTACTCTGTCCTTGTAGGGTCGCTATGAGTGGGAATCGACTTGATGGCAACAGGTTTGGTTTGGTTTTTACATTTATACAGTGCTTTGAGGATCCACGGTCATTTCTTATAGATTCTTTTTTTTTTTTTTTTTTTTGTATCTTTACATGAGCTCTGAGTAGTAACTAGGACAGGTAGTATTATTCCTTATTTTTCAGAAAAATAAAATTAGACCCAAAAAAGGTTAAATCATGTGCTCAAAGTCCCTTTCCCAATGAGATATGGAACTCATTTCCATAGTGCTGGAACTCAGGTTGCCTCACTACTAATTCAGTGCTTGTTACAGTATTATTAACTCTTTAGCTTTGATGTAACTTTGTTCTAATAAATGCCAATTTGTTTTGTGTTCATTTTCTAGAATCAAGTTGTTTTCTTTCTCAAAGACATTTTTGATTTCGAGAAAGTACGCTATTCAAGTATAGAGACTTTGGCCGAAGACCTCATGCAGTTACTTATTCGCCGCACGGAACTTTTAATGGCCTGTCTTGGAGCAGATGCACTGAGGCATACGAGTAGCTGTATAAGTAGTCATGGACATGTTATGTCCAGCGGGCTATTGGAAGCCAGAGTACAATAAGTACCGTAAGAATCATATAATTTGAGTGTGCTATGAAATACTTTAAAGTAACTATTGATTTTGTAACACGTATTACAAAATCAACAAAATTGGTAAATGTGGACTCAGGGAGGAAAAACAATCTAGTAAAGAATGAATGACTGTACTGTACTTGAAGTTCTGTCATTGAATCCCTGTGTAGTATATCCAAAGCAGTTTTTTATAACCTTTAGGTAACAATTCAGGTTGTGAAATCTGTATTTCCCAAAAACGTTGCTTGAATTGAAGCCAATACTTGCAAGTTAATTGATTTGTCTTCTTGAAGCTGTCTGAAATGTCCAGTATCATTCTCAAAAGCTTTGTTTTTATGCTTTGTGCCTAAAAAATAGACACTTTAGCCAAGACTTTTATGGCTCACACATGTAAGAATATATTACTGCTAGTGTCAGTGTATTTAACTTTGCCTGAAAATGTATTTTTGATTGTAAAGTTATTCATTTGTATAACCAAGTTTAGTCTGTAGTTGTGTTTAATATGTACTGCTTACAATATTGCTTGTGCGTTTGCTTATGTAACTGAATTAAAGAAATTGTAATGGCTGAGTATCATTATAAAACATTTAAATGAATTGACACTGAGAAGTTTACGATTTCCAGCTTTTAATTAGATTTACTGCAGTTTCCAAAATATATTACTGCTGGTCCTATAAGTTACAAAAGAGAAACTGAAGAACTTTATTTATTTATTTATTTATTGGTGCATTTTTCCCTTGACTGAATATTGATTGAAAAGGTAACATTTATTAACTAAGACAGGCAATTAAATTTTTTTCTGTATAGTTTTGAGACTGTTTCCCAGAATGTGATGGTATTAATCTTGGTACAGTAAAATAACTTCCCCTTTCTCCTTCTACAAAACTGACTTTTAGTTATTCCCACAGAGAATTTAACATGCTGGGAATTTGTCATATTATGACCACAGTTTAAAAATACTCATACTTAAATCTTAGTATGGTTTTAAAGTAGGTGTTTTTCTCCCTTGAATATAGAACAAAAAATATTTTTAATGGTATAGAAGTATATTACCTGTCCTTTATGATGAATGTGTGTATGAAAGGATTGTTCATGAGTAAGATTCTTCTTCAGAGTATATTAGACACTTTAAGAGTGGCATTCACTTACTTGGAGTGGCTGATTCAGTATATGAATGGATTGGATTTCTTAATTTTGCTCCTGAAGTAGGCTGTCTTCATTTTAGGAGTTAATTACCCAGAAAGATATAAAATACATTTTTTAAAATACATTTTAGATTAAAGTGCCTAGTTTCTGATTAATGAATAGAAAATTAATGGTGGAAAAAAAGCATAATCTTTTAAGATTTTAAATAGTTGTATGTGCCATATTTATGTAATGTTAGTTCCTTTATCTTGTTTGCATGTGTTCCATTACATGTAGGTTATATCATTAAACTAATTAATATGAAGTATTGCTCTAAAAGTTTTTGAGTATATAGCTCCTTGACTTTTCTTGCATATATTCTTAATTTAACAATTGGCTATTCGTAATTCTTATTATTGATGGAGGAGTATCATTAGAAGTACCAAAACTAAAAATTCCATTAGATAATGTTTTACTTTTAATTTAGTATTTTGTATTTTTACCTTGTTGTTAAGGTACCAGTAACCTTGAGTGATACATACTCATCCACACACAGGTGCACAAACACACATTCACATTACTACATAGGCAAGACAGTTATTGCTTATGTTAATTTACTCATTTTTGGCCTAAATGTTTTAAGCTGTAGTTTATAGACAAAGTTACAAATAAACTTCATTTTTTAATTTGCAATCAGTGTTGAAAAATTGCACTATTTAATGATGCTGCTTCTACATAAAATAACACGAGGGAATTTATTTCATTAGATAAGATGAATGACTTTCCAGAGGTATTGTATTTCCCTTTTACATTTCACCATTTGAAAAAAAATTTGCCTCTATTTAGGAAGTTGATTTGGTTTCTGATCAGTTCAGTAGCTATGACTTTAGCAAGATGCTTCCTTTGTGGCCTTTGACAAGAGGGACGAGAGTGCCCAAATAGGATTTCAGGGCAAAAAGTACAGGAAAAACCTCTATTGTAAAAGAAGAAACTTGACTTTTAAGTTTCTAAGAAGAACATTTCTGATAGCAGAAAGATACTTAATACATATATACCAATTTCCATTTGCCTTAAAATTGGGTTAAACAGTAAAAGCAATGTTTTAAAAAACAATAAATGATTAAACTAGTCTAGAGCCTTTTACAGTGAAATGCTATTTAAAACTTACTCAAGGTGGTGTTATCAGAAAAATGTCATTGCCACTTTGAGTCCTACCATCAACTTCCATGTGTAAGTTTTAAGAGAGTCTTGAATTAGTTCTAAGAAAATGGCTTTTTTTCTTCTGTTTTCTAGAAGTAAAAAGATAAATGTTCAGGTGATTTATTCTTCGTATTTCTACTTTTTTTAATATTGGTTTTCCTATATTTTTGTTCAACTAAAAGGCTACTTATTTCTTCTTGAAGCTTAACAGTATGTTTATTAAATGTCAAGATGGGATTATCTTTTGAAAAAGAAAAGTTTTCCGTGCGAGAATCAGCTCCAAAGAACTTCCTCTCTCTTATTCATAAAGTAGTTCGTTATTTGCATCCGTTTACTATGATTCTATTACTTTGTTAAATTACCTGACTATGAAAAAAATTACAAACTTTTTCTTGCATGAAGATGTAACATTTTCTACTTAATTACCAAAGGAGTTATTATTTACATTAGAAAAGGATTCTTTAGTTTATCATTTCTTTAAGCCTAGGAAATAGGAATGCCAAAATAACAATGTACTTCTCTGTGACCTTTCATTATAAGAAATGTTAGATTATGTTCATAATCCATTTGCTTTTATTTTAATGTGAATACTTATTAGGAAATTAATGTAAATTTCCAAATGATTGTAAAAATTAGGCTGAATTTAAGTTTTGTTTTTTGCTTAATCAAATTTAGAAATATCTCTTTATGTGGGACTTAATGATTTTTGTAATCTGTGATTAATGGAAATAAGGACATCCTTATTTTGTGCATAGTGATTATGTTATATTATTGTTTTGATTCATTTGAGGACAACCATGTATTAGCTTCACTTGGCTGATACCAGTAAATGTTTCGGTTTCCTAAATGTAAAGACTGTACTCATTAATTCGTGTAAAAGTAAAACACTGCGGTAACAGAAAAAAATAACACTGGCTCTTCAATCAAAATAAGCACTGTAATTCACATGGATGTATTTCTGTTACTGCCAAATAAAATAGTGATGTTATGTACATCTTGCTGATGTACTGAATATTTTTTTCCATTTGCTAATATTTTACTTTAAAATTGCACGTTACTATTTATAACAGTTCAGGTTTTCAATTTTAGTAGTATTTTTGTCAAGTACTGGTGTCAATGTTCTACTGATTTTGTAAAAGGAATCTCTGATTTTTCCTTCTTCATGCTGTGAAACAATTTAAATGTTATCAAAATCATCTTTTCCTTGATAGTTTAAAAGAATTCACCTGTAATACCATCAGGGCTTGGTGTTTTGGAGATGGTAGCTTTTAAATAACTTTCTTAATTTCTTCCATTGTAACTGGTCTGTGAAGTTCTCTCTTCTGGAGTAAATTTCGATAACTGGATTTCTCATCACAGCAGCATCCCCGTGCCAGGTAGCCGCCCACCCACAGGTCGGTGAGCGGGCAAGCCCGGTATTGAATATTTTAAACATTATTTATAATAAACATTATTTATTATACACAGTGGCTGCAACAATGGGCCCAAGCATATCAGCAATTGTAAGGATGGCTCACAGCCGGGCAGCATTTCACTCTGTTGTACATAGTGTCTCTATGAGTCGGAACCGACTCGCCGACAATAACAAATTAAAACAAATATAAACATTATTTACATATAATTGCAAGGTCACACTGGTCTCATCAGGCCCTACCCTATGCGAGCTTTTAGTCCCCATAGTACCACATGTGCAGGCATAGAGAACCCAGACAACTGCAGAAGCCTTGAATTTGAATGTGAAAGTATATGTTATCATTATGTACTAACCAAGGAAAAAAGGCAGTTTTGTGATGAATAAAGTCAAAGTATTTGCATTTTAATTAAAAACGTAAAGCCTTTTGATGAATAATGCCATCAAACATAATATAAATTTCTCATATCGATGTACATACATCCATCCCTATTCAGACATAGGCTGAACCTCCTTTCCCTGCCATTTCCTGGTAAGGGTTCACACACATTTAGTAAAGGAGAGGGATGCCCCCTGGACACCATTGTAGTCACCACGTGGCTGAAAAGGTTCTCCTGTATAATAAAAACAGTATTCTTAATTTGGGATTGTTAGTAAACAGGATTATTTTAGAATAATTATATATGTATAGTATAGATAAATAAGTATATATAGTATATGTTTTTTAAACTTTTGAACATATAAACTGAAGTATATTACTTAATAAACAAACTATACAAGCATGAGTTGAATCTTTTCCTAGCTAGGATGTAGGGTTGGAGGTGGAATGGGAAACTAGATCAGCATCTCAGGCTCATCTTCTGTTTTCTTTATCTGCCATACCCTTTGTTGTCTCATGCCATCCTCTTTGATCGTACCACCTGAATTAGTATTTTGCACTTTAAACGTCTCTCTCTCAATTCTTAGGCATGTTTAAAATACTTTCCTATAAAGCATCTCAGTGTCCTGTTGTTACAGCATTTGTAGGGCTTTGCTGGAAACCTTTATAAGTTTACTTTGTTTATCCATTGTCTTCCTTACTGTTCTTATCCCACTTTTGACATCTGTTTCACTATTTTCTGCAGTGTCTCTTCCTATACCCTGCATTCTATAATATTTTACCCTGTTACTTCTTCCCCCTTGATCTATTTCTCTCCTTATGCTACTGACATCTTTGATCAGGCTGCACAAGCTCTTTTGTCTGCTGAGTTTCTATCATTGGCTTTTTCTATGTCTGAACAGTGCAAACCCTTCAGTAACCTCCATTGTTTGGACTGGATTCCAGTGTAGGGGTGGGGAGGGGAAAGCAAACCTTCCCTCTGTGACACTTTTTATCTTTACTTAAAAGCCACAGCAAAGCAACTGGTACATCAAATAGTACCTCAGCGTTTTGATTTTAACTATTTATTCTGTATGTCACAGATACCTTTCACAAAGTACATTTACAGAAAATTACAAAACTTTTATAATTTCCTATGTTGAAATAAACACCATAGCACTTGACTATAGAGGAGCACTTTGACATTTGAAAGTACTTAAAATATATGACTTGCAGAATTTTGTTTAATTCTCTTATTTAGTAATACTCTGTATGAGAGAGTAGGCCCAGAACTTTAAAAAGGACCAAGTGCTTTATTTGGTAGAAGATGGATAATCAAAAACGTAGGTTAAAGCAGGTGCATTGGTTACCGATTGCTGCATAACAAATTATCCCAAAATTTAGCAGCTCAAAATAGCAAACACTATCTTACACAGTTTCTGAGAGTCAAGAATCCAGGAGTGGCTTAGTTGAATGGTTCTGGTTTAGGTTCTTTCCTGAGGTTGCAGTCATCCGAAGACTTGACTACAAAATTAGTTTCCAAGATCCTCTCACTCAAATGGCTGTTGTCAGGAGGTCTCAGTCCCTCTCTGGCTATTGTGGGAAGCCTTAGTTGCTTGCTACATGGGCCTCTCAACATGGCAGCTTGAGTGTCCTTTAGACATGGCAGGTGGCTTCCCCCGGAGTAAGCAGTTCAAGAGAGAGCAAGGTAAAACCCACAATGTCTTTTATAAACCTAGCCTTGGAAATGACATACCGTCACTTCTGCCATTTCTCTTCATCACACAGACCAATCCTGATGCAGTGTGGGAGGGCACTACACAGGCGTGAGAATACAAGGAGGTGAGATAATTTTAGACATCTTGGTGACTGGCTACCACAGCAGAGAATCATAATAAATTACAAATAGATAACTTAGACATTTTAGTTTTAGATGAATAAGTATACATTGTTTGGTCAATCTTTTAATGTAGAGTCAATGCGTTTATTGAGTATGGATCCACTTGCTGTTCCGAAATATTTTTGTTAGATAAACTACACCCCTAAACTATCATCTGGGATTTTCAATTTCTCTTAATTTTAAAAGGAGAAAAAACTTAGACACATGAAAAGCAATGAGTACAGAATGCCCCTAGATTTTTATAAATTTTGTACTTAATCTTTTACATTTGACTTTCCTCACCCTTAGCTTGATGGTAGTTTTTGTACTGTTTATCTTTTCAAAGCATTCTACTAAGCTTTCATAAAAACTATTGTTGTTAGTTGCTGTCGGGTTGGCTCTGACTCATGATGACTTTGTGTATGGTAGAACAAAATGTTGCCCGGCCTTGCACCATCTTCATGATGGTATGTTTGAGTCCACTGTTGTGGCGGTTGTGTCAATCCATCTCACTGAGGGTTTCCCTTGTTTTTGCTGACCCTCTACTTTACCAACCATGATGTCCTTTTCTAGCAATTGGTATAAAAACTATAACTTTTTATTTTGGCTCTTATTTTTCTTCCTTTTTGTCATATTTACATAATTTCAATAACATGCAATCAGCATAACCAAGTTTGAGAACTAACCCAACTGATTCATGATATGTATACAAGGAATGTTTATACATATTGGTATATCTTGGATTTCTAATAGTCTTCTCAAACTTAGTGTGTCCAAAATTGATCTCCTGACCGTCCCTGCCTGAACTTCCTCTTCCCAGTCTTCCCCATCTCAGTAAATGTCAACTCCATTCTTCCATTTCCTCAGGGCAAAAACTTTTCCTCACACCTCATATTTAATCTGATACCAAAATCCTACCAGTTCTACTTTAAAAATGTACCAAGAGGGGGAAAAAAAAAGTACCAAGGATCTGACTGTTTCTCACTACCTTCACATTACCTCTCATCCTGATTATTGTGTGTGATAAGGTTGGACCATGGTTCTCAGTGGTTTGGCAGTTATGATCTAGTTTGGTAGCTATGTAATGATATAATCACCTTCATAATGAGATCTGATATAATGTAAGCAACTCCATGATGAGATCTGTTATGAGCAGCCAATCAGTTGAAAGGGAGTTTCCTTGGGGGTGTGGCCTGCATCCAATATAAGTGGACTTTCTGGCAAAGCTCGTTGGCTTTTGCTTGCTCTGGATCCTGCAGCTGGCTTCTGTTCATCTGACCTCCAGTTCTTGGGACTTGAGCTAGCAGCTTTCCTGCCAATCCTGGGATTTGTCAGCCTCTGCAGCCTGTGAGCCAGAGGCCTGCTGTCTGACCTGCCGATCTTGGGTTCACCAGCTCCTGCAGTTATGTGAGTCAGGAGAACCCTCAGCCTGACCCACAGACTTGGGACATTCCAGCTTCTACAACCACGTTAGCCATTTCTTTGATATAAATCTCTCTCCAGATATATTTATACACTTCACTAGTTTTGCTTCTCCAGAGAACTCAGCATAAGACATTTGGTACCAGGAGAGTGGGGTGCTGCTCTAACAGATACCTGCAGTGTGGTAGTGATTTTGGAATTGAGTAATGGGTAGAGGCTGGAAGAGTTTTAAAGTGCCTAATAGTAAAAGCCCTGGTGGCATAGTGGTTAAGAGTTTGGCTGCCAATCAGAAGATTGGCAGTTCGAATCCACCGTGTGCTCCTTGGAAACCCTATGAGGCAGTTCTACTCTGTCGTATAGGGTGGTTATGAGTCAGAGGTCAGAGTCCACTTGATGACAATGGTTTTTTTTTTTTTAATAGTAAAAGCCTACATTGCCTTGAAGAGACTGTTGGTAGAATTATGGACATCAGAGACAATTCTGGTGAAGGCTCAGAAGGGAGTGAGGAGAGCTGTAACACCAGAGATGGCGCAGACAGGGAGAAGCAGCAGCAGAGAAACAGCAGCAGTACCAGGAGACTGATGTGAGATGGCACGGGAGCTGATCCAAGGAGCAAGAGAGCTGAGTGCCATTTGGCTGAGGTTTACTGGCAGAGTGGGGTGCCTCTGGGCACTTATCAGTAGAGCTGAAGAGCTTTGTAACACTTGTCCAACCAGAGCAGGGGCTGGCCAGCCCAAGTGGCCCAAGGGGCCGAGGGTCCAAGAGGTCAAGGAACTAGGAAGCAGAAGCTGAAGAGACGAGGAGCACAGGAAGCAGAGCTGCCTTGGTCTCAAAGGGTAGGGCCATGACCTCTGGGGTCTCAAAAGGTGGAACCACAGCCTGCTGGGTATCAAGGGGTGAAGCCACAGCCTTATAGGTTTCAAAGAGTTAGATCTTCACCAACTCAGTTCCAGAGTGTGGGGTTGCCATTCACGAGTGCCAGGTGAACAGGGCCGGATCCACTGCCCAAAGCTGAGGGCTTGGGCCTGCCATGCCTTTGGGGCTGCCATGCCCACGGGGCAGAAGAACAAGGCCTGCCAGGGCCAAGGGGATAGGGTCACCATTCAGACAGACTAGGAGAATGGGACCGCTCAAAGCCGAGGGAGCAGAGAAGCTATTCCAGTGGGCCTGCAAGGCAGAGCCTAAGCCCAGGGCCGAGGGACCTCCACCCAAATTCCAGAGAATGTGGCCAATACCCAGAGTCTAAAGGGCAAGACTATTGCCTAAATGGTGTCAGAGAACAGAGGATTATTTTCAGGCCTTGAGAGCTAATGTAATGTGTTCTCCTAACTTGCTTGATACCTGTTATCCCTTCTTTCCCTCCAATTTCTCCCATTTGTAATGGAAATGTCTACCTTGTGCCTGTTCCACCATTGTATTTTGGAAGCAGATAACTTGTATTCTAGATTTCACAGATAAAGAGGAATTTTTGGAATTTGGACTGGTAGTTAAGACTTTTAGGATAATAGGATGGGGTGAATGTGTTTTTACATGTGGCAAGGACATGAATTTTGGGAGGCCAAAGAATGGAATGTTATGGATTGAATTGTCTCCCCCCAAAATGTGTGTCAACTTGGCTAGGCCATGATTCCCAGTATTGTGTGGTTGTCCACCATTTTGTGATCTGATATGATTATCTTATGTGTTGTAAATTCTTTTTTTTTATCTTTTTATTTTATGGTTGTATTTTTAAATAAAAGTTTATAATTCAAGTTAGTCTCTCATACAAAAATTTATACACACATTGTTATGTGGCCCTAACTGCTCTCCCTATACTGTGACAGCACATTCCTCCTTTCCACCCCTGATTTCCCGTGTCCGTTCAACCATCTCCTGACCCTCTCTGCCTTCTCATCTCACCTCTGAACAGGAGCTGCCCATTTAGTCTCATGTATCCACTTGAGCTAAGAAGCACGCTTTTCACAAGTATGATTTTATGTCCCATAATCCAGTCTAATCTTTGACTGAAGAGTTGGCCTTGGGAATGGTTTTAGTGTTGGGTTGACAGAGAGTCCGGGGGCTGTGCTTTCTGGGGTTCCTCCAGTCTCAGACCATTAAATCTGGTGGTTTTACTAGAATTTGAGTTCTGTACCCCACTTTTCTCCTGCTCCAGCAGGGACTCTCTTTTGTGTTCCCTGTCAGGGTGGTCATTGGTGGTAGCCAGGCACCATCTAGTTCTTCTGGTCTCAGGCTGTTGCAGTCTCTGGTTCATGTGGCCCTTTCTGTTTCTTGAGCTAAGGCCTTCTTTGTGACTTTGGTGTTCCTCATTCTCCTTTACTCCCGGTGGGTTGGGACCAATTGATGCATCTTAGATGGCCGCTCACTATATGTTGTAAATTCTAACCTCTATGATGTTAATGAGGCAGGATTAGAGGCAGTTATATTAGTGAGGCAGGACTCAATCTGCAAGATTGGGTTGTATCTTGAGTAAATCTCTTTTGAGATACAGAAGAGAGAATCAAGCAGAGAGAAGAGGGATCCCATGCCACCAAGAAAGAAGTGCAAGGAGCAGAGTGAGTTGAGTCCTTTGGCCCCCAGCATCCTTGTGCTGGGAAGCTCCTAGACCAGGGGAAGATTGATGACAAGGACCTTCCCTTAGAAACAACAGAGAGAGAAAGCTTTCCCCTGGAGCTGGCATCCTGAATCCGGACTTCTAGCCTTCAAGACTGAGAGAATAAATTTCTGTTTGTTAAAGCCGTCCACTTGTGCTATTTCTGTTATACAGCAGCACTAGATAACTAAGACTTTGTGGAACCCTCCTAATTTGTCTCCCTGCTTCCTCCCTTGTTCCATTCAGTGTGTTTGAAGCACATCAGGGATGGTATTGAAGGGAGCAAAGGGGTAAACTAGATCATCCAGTCCCTCTATCTGTATTGGAATAAATTTAAATAACTTGTAATTACCAATTTAGAACTTTTCTGTGACTGAGAAATGAATGGCTTTATCCCTCCTAAAAGAATTTTCATCGTGAGCAAACAGATGTGTGGGGGTGGGATGGAAAAGCAGAGATATATGTAAGAGCAGATGTTTTGGACATCCCTGCATAACCTGAGCACAGCTGCCTGCCCAGAGCAGAAGTCGGAAGTCGTTACCTTGACGCTGGTTTTCTTTTTTGTCTTTTTGTTTTTGCATGTAGTGAAAGATTAAAGATCTCCCACACCAGAAAATGTCCCCTCTGGATGTGCATTTTTCAGGTTTTAATACTACGTCTGATGGGTTTAAATGACTGGATGGTGGTACAAATTGTAAAGGACTGTGGGAGCCTAATTTTTGCAGACTCCTTTATGGTTTAGAGACACCAGAGATTTGCTTTCAATTAAGGAAGAGTGGATTATATATATTCGTTTATTTTTTAACACTTTCCTCTATCAACCACTCTTTTTGTAGTTAAAGACGGGGGAAGCAAGAAAAGAAGAGCAACGCACAGATGAAATGGTCTGGGATTGATGCCCCACGCTCTTGCTAAGAAAGGGAATTATAATGTAGTGGCTCGGCTTCTTGACTGGAAACCAGGACGTGTAGAGTAGCTGAGAGAAGCGGGCCCCAGGGCAAATGGGTTGTTGGTAGGCGGGAAGCCAGCTCCAGACTCGTAATGAAGACCATTCCAGCTTCACTCTTCCCCAGAGGAGAGGCAGCCTCCCTTCCCCGGGCCCTACCCGAGGTGTAGGGCGGCCCATGGTTAAGAGAGTCAGGTCAGGGACCGAGGGTCGGGCGACAGGCAGGTTCTAGCGCAAAGTTGGCAGCCGCTACCGCCCCCCTCGCGTGCTTTCCTCCTCGACTCTCCACCCCTCTCCGGGAGATACGGCGGAGGTGGGGGCGGTGGGGAAACTGGCCTTGTGTTTTGGAACAGCTGCAGCCGGCGCTGGGCCCGCCTGGAATGCGGGAACAGTCTGCGCACCAGGACTTTTATGGAAACTTGCTGCTGGAGACCGCGGCGGCGGCGGCAGCCAGAGGGCTCCCAGCGGCCGGAGCAGCAGCGGCAGCAGCCGTAGCGCCCAGACCCCTGCCGGCACTCAAGCGCTGGACGCACACAGCTTTTCCGCGCACAAGGAGGACATTCGCTTCTCGCCGGTTCCTGGCTGGTGAGAGGAGTGGGGAGAACGTGAGGCTGGGGCGCTGGGAGACAGAGGTGTCAGGTCCTCCGGGTGGGCAGGGAGGCTGCAGGGACGCGCTCTTCGTCTCCGGAATGGGCTCAGTCGCAGCACCGGAACGCGTCGGGCTCCATCCAGCTGTGGCTACGCTCTGGTCCCTGCCCCGAAAGAACCGACCCTCGGAATTGCGACCTTCGGGGTCGGCGAGTGCGGACGGGCGTCCACTTCGCTGTCTCTCGGCGTTAACCCGCCTCCGGCTCTGGTGGCGATTTGTTACCCCGCTGCCCTGGTTTTGCTCCGCCTGCGCCTTGACCGTTGAGTTACTCCTGTAGGGAAGGAGCCCTCCTTAAGCGAAGTGGGTGTCAGTCCCTTTGCTGTTCCCTTGGGGTCCGAGCAGGTAAAGTTCGGAGTTGTACCGGGAAGGAGTACCCCCGCCACGTGCCCACGCCACGGTCTCTGTCTCTGCCTGCAGTGTCTTTTGTTTTTAGGAGGACTCATTCTTGATCTGTCACTGTGAAGGCAGGGGAATGAAGTGTAATTTAACAGCTTATCATCTACGCCCTCCCTCCAAACTGTTTTTCCTCATTCTGCCCGAGGTGGAATGCTGAGGGTTGAGGAGCTAGAGCTGAAAGTTGGAGTGAAGAATATAGTTACCTCTTGAGACCTCGCATGTCTATTTGCTTTTTGAAAACGGCGAGCCGTTTCGGTCGCGTTTGTAAACTGTGAAATGCTCTACGAATGCTGAAGATGTATTATTTCTGGCATTTGTTAAAAAAAAAAAAGTTGAGAGGTTAGTTGATTACTGCAGTGACTCTCAGATCTTCATTTGAGGTTTATTAAAGGTCTACAGTGTGCACTGAGAGTTGGTGAGAGAGATAACAAGGTAAAAATAGCATAAGGATCTGTCCTAACAAAATGTCTGTCCTTGGGAAACAGGCAGGTAGAGTAAAGAAGTAAGCCATAATAAAAAAGAAATTAGTTGCATGACCAAAGCAATGGCAGCATCATTCATCAGCTAAATTTTGTTAATGGATTTATGTAACGGGCCCATTGGCCTGAGAGTCACAACATAAGTATGTCTTGAATAGTGTGATTAAATAAACGTAAATATTTATATCATCTTAGTCATACATTATTAAGTGGACCACATAATTCCCCCCCCCCCCAGTATTATTCATTTACAGGATAAATTCCTACCATAAGAAGACTCAGAATGCACATAGAGCTCTGAAATTCTTTTGAGTTTTGGGGTACTGGTAATGAAAAAAAAATGCATGATTAATCAGATGAAGGAAAGAGGTTCTTGGGGAAGTATATTCAATATAAACGAACTTTTGTTATTTAATGTAGCTGGTTAAGATTCTTCCTTACAGTTATTAGCAACCTGTTTTTGAAGATATTTTTATTTTGACCCTGCTTCCTAGGAATAACTTAAAGAAAAATTTGTGCAATTCTGTCTTATATCTGCAACAGCTTTAAAGAGCCCTAATCAAAAACCACAAAATTCTTTTAAATCCAGTTGTCTTCATTACAACTGATGTAATTCAGTTTTAATAGAAGATTCACACTTTTAAATGCATTTTAAACTGAAATGTAGTAAATAGCAATTTTTCCTGCTCACCTTAAAATGGAATCTGTGCTATTTTTGAAAATTTGATATGTAAGACTGATCATTGTCAAAATGTATGTCATCTTGAGATGGCTATATTTAGCATCAAGAAAGGAACCCATTATCTAGGTTTTTGAACAGTGTTTTTCCCCTGAAATTTTACTTGAAGTATTTAGGTTAGGGTTTCACTTGTGAACAGAATGAAAACTGAGTATGTATATTTGGAAAAGATTAATTGGGGATTGAGATTGCTTAGAACCTGAGTGGCCTAAAATGACATACTTCAGTAAGGAAAAAAAATAAAACCAACCAGCTATCTTTGATGTACTCAAAAGGCAAATAAAAGTATTATTTCAATAAAAATACTGAGGGTTGTACATGACTAAAAGAAAGAAAACAGCACAATAAATGTAACAAAGTATGTAACAGAAGGACAGATGTTTAAGTTTATACAAGGAAAGAGGACTGTTAATACACTTTGCAGTATGTAGGCCACACACACACAAACCATCTTGGTAGTCTATTTTATAATTTAGTGGAAAAATGACCTACAAAATTCTTAACAGTTTCACGTACTTCTGTTCTTTTTTAATCGACCTGTGGTCCACATCACCTGTGTAGCTTCTTTCTTATTTTCTTTCTCCTGGCTTGTAATTGCATACTTATATATTACTTACATATACTTGAAATTGTTACATTTTCTTTTTTTATTTAAATATCCAGTGCATAGTTTGGCTTAAGTTATGGTGGTGTACTTTCTACACTATGGAGTGAGTGGATCTTTACCCAGAAATCCAACTTATTTAATTTTTAGTTATAAATTTTTTTAATCATAAAATTGGTATGTTGTCGTTGGTAAGTGGCCATCCAGTTGGTTCCAACTCATAGTGACTCTGTGTATAACACAACGAAACACTACCTGGTCCTGCGCTATCCTCGCATTAAAAATTAATATACCCATACTATAATTGTGGTTAAAAATTACACAGAATGGAAAGGAGGGGTTTCAAAATTTGATACACCTACTGTTAGTATTTTGATATATTTCCTTCTAGTCTTTTTTCCATGTATAGGATTTTTTTCCTTGCATTGTCATATCTCAGTGAAACAACATATGTAAGAACATCTGATGTAGTGTCTGCCGTAGAGTTAAGTGTCCAATGGGTGGTTCTTTTTCTTTCTCCTCTTTTTCCTTATCATCTCTCTCTTTTTGCTCTCAGATTAGAAGACAGATAGATCAGGGGCTAAAAACTGGCAACCAGAAAAGCCACTTCCAGCCACAGACATGCTTAAAAATCAGAACATTTTTAAATAAAAATATGGATTTCCAACCTCTCTTGAAAAATTGGAATATCTAAGCAAAACTGGGTCTATATTCCTGCATAGTAACAATAGAGCTAATAGTGGCTGCCTCCTTGAACAGGGCACATGTGCACCAGTCTGACACAGTCTCCTAGGGAATGTGGAGACTGTGTCAAACGAGCACACAGAGCACATGTGCCCTGTTTAAGTACACCTGGTTATTACTGAATGACATTACCAGTTGGATCCTAGGCTCTTGAGCATGCAGTTCCCTGATCTAAGTATTAACTGTAGTGGATTGAATTATGTCCCCAAAAAAATGTGTATCAATTTGGCTGGGCCGTGATTTCCAGTATTTTGTGGTTGTCCTCCATTCTGTGATTGTAATTTTACGTTAAAGAGGATTAGGGTGGGATTGTAACACCCTTACTAAGGTTTCTTCCCTGATTCAGTGTAAAGGGAGTTTCCCTGCCATGTGGCCTGCACCACCTTTTATCTTACAAGAGATAAAAGGAAAGGGAAGCAAGCAGAGAGTTGGGGACTTCATACCACCAAGAAAGCTGTGCTGGCAGCAGAGTATGTGCTTTGGACCCAGGGTTCCGGCGAGAGAAGCTCCTAGTCCAGGGGAAGATTAATGAGAAAGACCTTCCTCCAGAGCCAACAGAGAGAAAGCCTTCCCCTGGAGCTGATGCCCTGATTTTCGACTTCTAGCCTACTAGACTGTGAGAAAATAAACTTCTCTTTGTTAAAGCCATCCACTTGTGGTATTTCTGTTTATAGCAGCACTAGATGACTAAGACACTAGGGCAAGTCTGAAGTCAGGTTATGATGGAAAGTCTGCTGGACTTGGCATTATGAACCTGGACTTTAAGTGTTGTAAATTTGTTTTGGTTAGCAATTCTCTTAAATAATGTGATCATGAGAGTTGGGGAAGGAGAAATTAGCATTCATTGACACTAATTGTTAAGTGTCAGCTAGAGCTGGAGAGGACCATGTATTGCTGACCAAAACAAACCAAATATTTTAACTGGTGGGATTTTAGATAGCATAGGGGAGATGTTTCTGGGAAAGAAATCTTTCCCAGGATCTCTTAAATGATTCTACTCCCTCCCCATCCTAGAAATGTTTAGAAGAGTTTTTGTCAGGCCCCTAGAGCTTCACCATAAAGGGGTAGCTACTGTTCTGCCTCCTCACCCCACCAATTTGTTTAGAGCCAGGGGCCTGGGTCTTCCCATTCCTGGTTGTGTCTTTGAATGAAAGGCCATCTTCCAGAGGTGCGAAAAGGCCTAGACTCTTCCCGTAAATTACCACATCATTTGCTTGAGAAGCCAACTTCCTGAAGCCCCAAGTTTCTGGTTGTTTATGATACCTAGTTTAACCTAAACCCACTCTCATTTTATTTTATTTTCCATTATTATTATTATATGGTGCGTATATATCATCAGCACTCCTTTTGGAGATATCAATCATAAGTCTTATTTAGGCTGATTTTGGATCAGGTGTCCTGTTATTTCTTTGTCATTCGTCTGCTCTTAAATATGTATTGAGCTTTTATTATGTCCTAGGTGCTGTATGAGATACTAAGAATATACAGAGAAATAGAGCACAGTTCTTACTTTTCAGAGACTCATAGTGTGATGAATGTACTTTGAAAAGTGTCACATGCAGTCATATGAATGCAAGGTATTATATATTATTATTACAGAAGAATGGTAAGACAGGTTGAAATTAAGATTCTTCTTAAATGAGGAATTGTGTATTCATAGAAGAAAAATCTCACTGCTTCAAATAGGTACAATAGGATCTCATTTCAGATTTTTGAAATGTGATGAGGATTATGACAGATTTTGTAATTTTTTAAAGTATAAGGTTGCAACTTTGATTAATTAAATGTAATAGAATTACATTATATTTAAATTTATATTTCTTGTACAAGTCAAAAAAAGATAAAAATTTAGGCTCACATTTGATGGTGCTCAAAAGAATTTTTTGTTTGTTTGTTCCAAAGACTGTAAAGAGGTAGGTCTTAACATTTACTTGTAATATATAGTTAAGTATTCCACTTAAAGCCTTCTTAAAAGTTGAGACAGAGAATTTGCTTGGGCTTAGTGAAATGCAGACTTAAAAGCTGTCACTGTCTTGGCAATTCTGTTCTCCGTGAAAAAGGAGATGATGATACGTTAACATAATGAAATAGTTATTGTAAGTGATAGAGAGCTACGATTTAAAATTCTTTTCTTGATTCCTGAATTATTTGCTATTCTTGCACTATTTTAATTGCATATCTAAAATATCAAGGCAAATTAATTAAATTTACAAAAATTAGAGGCCAAACATAGGTCCAGTCAACTCCTAGAACAGTAACATTAGCAGGCATATTTTAATATAGACCTGTTGTCCTTAATATTATATTCTACTATATGATTTATGTATTCTCTCACAGCTTGAATCTCATCTTACTATCCAACCTGGAAATTATTTTGTAGTAACTCAAAAGTATTAATACTGTATGCTTGAAGCATATTTTATTAGGCCATTAAGTCATTTTCCAGAACTTCGTGAAGCCTATCTCACTAATTACTATGCC